CTTCACCATCTCCCTTTGTCAGAAATTATAAAATTGATGTCTATGCCTCAGCAGATGCTTCATTTGACAGAAGAGTCCTGCAGAGGGTCCACAGAGTTTTGGAGTGGATTTCGATCCAGACGGAGTAAGGCCAAGCTTTGGTATGTCCCACTTCTGGATGCTCTGAACAGCTCATGGGAGAAAGGGCGTTGGTACTTACCTGATACGCCCGTTCTTTGTGAGCTGTGAAGAGCATCCAGCCCCACCCATTTCTTTCCATCTGGTGAGGTTCCGTTCCAGTCAGGGATTTAGATTAGATGATGAGTCCCAGACTTTGGCACTCAGTCTTCGCAAAACTGGGGGACGCTGAGGAGGAGCCCTGTGGAGGAGGAGGAGCGTCCTGGAGTTTTAAGCCCAGCCTTTCCAGAAGAGACTGAAGCACCTCCCACTTCTGGATACTCTTCACAGCTCACAGAGAACGGGCGTATCAGGTAAGTACCAACACCCTTTCTCAGACTCATCAGGTTTAAGGTATGTGGACTCCAACTCCCACAATTCCCAGCCATTCATTATGGGAGTTAAACAATGGTGGGATTCATCCTGTTCTCACCAGTTCAGGCGAACCGGTAGTTAAATTACACAAAGCATACACACTGAAGTGGATCCTGGATATTGTGCTGCAATGGAGAAACAGGCAATGGAGTGGCCAGTGCAAGGGAAGGAGCAGGCCACCTTCCCTCTTTCTTCTCCCTGCTCCTCCTTCCTTCATGCCGGCTGCTCCATTGCCCTTTTCTCCATTGCAGCAAAGTGCCCAGGATCCACTTTGATGGAGGGGGGGTGATTTAACAACCGGTTTCCCCCAGGGTTAGGTTGACCATTGTGGGAGGCTTGTCCCACATGTGCAGGACTTCCATGACAGCCAACCTGACCCACTGAAGTTAACTCTGCACATCTTAAATCTGCTGAGTATCCTCCCCCATTTTCCCAGTAATTATTCCATTTTATTTCTTATTAATGTTAAAGTGGGAAGTCTAGAATAGCTCCTCAGTGGCAACACTGGGACAAATTTGCCTTGGAGCATTCCTGAGTTTTTGTTTTATTTCAGGCAGGCAGTGTGAGTCTACCTTTAAATCAGGGGTGTCGGTCATGCTACGAAAAAAGCATTTTGTTCTACTGCCAAGAATGCTTGGAAATGCCCGTCTCTCTGAAAGAGGACTTACGACACAGTTCTGTACATCTCTAGTTAGAAGCCAGTCTAATTGGTCTTGATGGACTCTATTTTCAATTAAGCATGAATGGAAGTACAGCTTTTACTGAGCCCCTAGCATTTCCTTTATGCTTATGTCACAACTTCAGTTTTAATGACTTCACAGGAAATTATTGTGATTTGCAAAGACACACAAAAGGTGTACAAAAGCAATACTTCCAAGCATACCCATTGCATGCCACTCTTATCTGATACTGCCGGTTATATCAAGTGGCCACTATCTGCTGTTGCAAATTCTCATTTGAAGAAGTATCTTCCAAAGAAATAAGACACAACTGCAGTTCATGAAAATCATTGGGATAGGATTTGCAGCCACATAGTAACCTTTTGTCTTGACAATTTTGTCAAGAGAAACTCCAAGCTGAAGTTTCACAAGAAGAACGCTAAACATGCTATGTGGACTGAAGGTAGTTCATTACAAGAGCAAGGAATCTGCCCTTGAAAGATGGCTATAAATGGGGGTAAAGAGGCTAGAAATATTTATAGGGAAGGTGATCTTTACGGAGGTGTAAGATATGAGTGTCTTATACGATATTTAATCTAGTGAATGGGTAACTGGAGAAGAAAATTTTAAGTTAACTTTTTTTGTACTTACAGATACTTTTCTTTGGTGTGTGGATTAAATTGGGGTAACTCATTTGTGAGCTCAAGAAAGTTTGTGTAAAGGATTTTCTCTGTTACTTTTACTTGAATCAATCAGTTTTAGCTCTGCTGTCAATTATTTAGGCCTGACCCAGCAATCTTTTGCAACTATTTGGATCCTTTGGTGCTCTCTGAACTTGATTGTTTTCTTGGGGACATTTCATTACCCAAACTTACAGCATCAGTACTTATCAGCCTTCATTTCACCCTAAACTACAATATTTTCCTTTATTGGTATTTATTTTTGCTTGCAATATAGTTTCCAGTCTTATCAAATTTTGTTAACGGTTAAGGGAATTTGTTAATGGTTAAGGGAAAATTAACAGGAGTGCAGAAATAGAGTTTATTTGATTTTTAAAATATTTTGCCTATAAAAGAATACTTTTCATACTTTAAAATGTGGCAAGGGGAGAAATGATTAAATATATGATGTAACAGCATGCTAGAACGACTCTGGGAGACTGGAGGGAGAGCTGCAGATTAGCTGCAGTGTGTTCTCAGTCCACTGACAAAGGGAGGATTTGTGAAATGTTTCAGAAGAGTAGAGTGGAGTGAAGTTCAAGTCCTAGGAGTTATAGAAATCAGAAACTTGAAGGTCTCTACTATTGATACTGTGTTGTCTAACATTGTAAGAAGTGGTAGAATAGGAGGGCTTCTTCTAAAATCTATTACTATCTCTACTGTTTTAAGTGTGTTCATTCCAGATTGTTGCAGCTGCACCACAGCAGAGAATCAAGTTCTGCTAACTAGCAGAGCTAGTTAGCAGGATTGTCCAAGGTCTTTCCTTCTATCATCTAAGTTTTTCCATACCTGACGGTGTACAGTAAGTCAACCTCCCATCTGTATGCAGATTCATCACCATCTCAAATGAAACCAATGACTGTTGTCTCTCTCTAGCTTAGAAGAGATCTTCTCTAGTTTTCTGGAGAGTAAAATGAGAGAAGGGGTTAGGGTTAAGGTTTCAATCTTGCAAAATACTTTGAATCTTGCAAAATTCAGTTAACTTTACAATAAAGATAGAACCAGTCCAGTACTCCTGGTCGTGCTTCTTGTCTGGACTAACTTGCAGTGCTAACACATGGGGAATAATCATACTAAATAAATCAAATTTCACTTTTGTCCAGATCTGGTAAGTTTTTAGCACACTTTCCAGTGTACGATCTAAAGGCCAAATGCCACTAAAAATCCTATTCTTAGGATTTTTCTCTTTTGGTATCATCAGTGGGGCATTTTAATTCTTGTACTTAATGGCACCCAGCAGTCCCACTTTGAAAGACTGTATTATGTGTTGAAGGGGGGGAATATACATTTGAAATAAAAATAAAATCTGCCGTTTGAAAAACTTGAAGGGATTTGTTGTTTCAATAATGTTTCCATTTTGATGAGGAACATTGATTTGAACTAAAAGTTTGGTCCTTTCCTGTCTCTCATTCATACCTTGGTTCAGGAATTCTTGCAAACTTAACCCTAAACATCCTGCTTTGCATGTGATTTTCAGAAATACCAGAGCTAGCTAAGAACCCAGATTACTGGCACAGAAACTACAAATTGTAGCTAGAATTATTCAGAATCTGAGATCTTTAGATTATTTGCAGATTAGGACCTGTTGGCAGTTAGTGCTTTCCCTTTTCTACCTTCAAAGATATCTTAACTTCCAGGTCTTGACAAGTCCTTGGTATTCATTGAGCTTGGTGATTTTCTTGCAGATATTTCATTACCAAACAAGGCAACATCATCAGTGCTAGGAGGGAGTAGGGTTTGCTCTTATTTTTATATACTGGTGACTTGGACTATCACTGTAGGTGGGATGTTCTTGGTGGTTCCTTGGTTAGGCTATCATTTATTGTTTGTTTGCCTTATTGATAATTCCTTGACTGGAGTATTGTTTATTTCTTGCTTAAGGGACTACTGTTCATCTTTGTCTTAATCTTTGCTCATATTGGTGTTGACTGGTTGTGAAGAGTGTTAGGGTCTTTCTTTTCTTTTGGGCTTTTTGATTGTTTCTTTTGAAGAAACTGAATTCTAGCCTGAGCAGCTGCTTATTAGGTGGGGCTGGTCTAGGTTCCCAAAGATTAAGAAATTCCTATTTTTGATAGGTCAAGACAGGGTCTCACAGGGTGCCAAAGGAATAGGATTCCCCGATGAAGATGCAAGCCCAGAAAGGCAAATTCAGAAACTTGAGCAAATGGAAGAGAGTAAAAGGAAAGAAGAAGCAGGCCCTTTCACAAGTCACCCTTCCCTAATCTGGGTGTATTCTATATGTGCTAGGAATCCATTTAGCTAAATAATGGGGGAGTATCTAAAGAGATTTTCAGTCACCCAGGTCATTGTTGTCCCAATGATGCTTTTTCAAAAGGCAACTGGACTTTATTTTTTCTTGAAGACATTTTACTTTTCATCCTTCAGTCAGAATCGAAGAAGCTTCTTGAATGAGAAGTGAAACATCTTCAAGGAAAAACAAAGTCCAGTTGCCTTTTGAAAAAGCACCTTTGGAACAATGTGGGAGCAATGTTTCAAAGACATCTGAAGAGTAGCAGGTTGTGTAAAAGAGCAAACTCTTCATCAGGTCCTGTTGCACGAATTTGGGTTTGTGCTTTGTGTTGATATTTGGGTATAGCACCTACACCTGAGTAGTTTCTCCCCATGCCTAAAAGAGATTATATTTAAATTTCTTCTAGAGTTTGGTGGTGTTCAAGAGTCTGATTGGCTCGACACAACCTGTTATGGACCCTTCTTCCACTGTCATCCAGAGAACAGAACACCAGTATCAGTATGAGTGTGGTAGAGCTGCACAGGTATTTATAGATCTCAGCCGGCACTTTGGATTTGGTTTCAGCTCCCAGGATCCATCAGCACATTCCTGAAACTGCTGGGAATGTGTGTCCCTTCCAGGTCACTCTCTCCCTCTTTAAATACCCTGGACCATCTCTTTAACTCCTGACCACGTAGTTTCCTTCAACCTCACCCTCCAAATCTTTTCATGCCATACTCCAGTCTTTTACTTATTCATGCACTTCACTATTTTGATACTCATATACATACGTTTCAGTCTGTCCAGCCTTGCATTTCATCCAACACCAATAAATCAAAGAAGGAGATATTGATAATGTATCTATGTTGTTTTATTTTAGTGCAAGCTTAACTAAAATGGTCATGTTGCAGTATTTAAATGAAAACAAATACACATATACACAAGAGCAACACAATTACAACAATTTACTTGTTATTGCTAATCTTTTATCATCTTCTCCAGCCCAATTTCTAAACTGTTTGGTTTAATGAAATCCAATTATCGGCTCTAAATCCACAAGGCCCTTTTCTCCTTTCAAGGACAGATTCCCTTCATCTAATCCCAGACAATCAAGAAACCAGGATTCTGCTATATTACATACTTCTTAGTCTGATACCCATCTAGGAGCTGTAGCTCATATTTCTCATTGCACTTAAACTTGCTGGCTTCTACTTTGAGAGACTAAGGTGCAGTTGCTCTGAGCAGCTAATAATAGCGTGGCGGTTTGGCAAAGAGTTTAGTTCCCTAATGTTGCTTCCCAACTCATCCCAGCCCAGTGTTGTCATATAAGGGCATGGCAGGAAGCCCATGGCTTGATTTTCTCATCTATCCCGGAGGCTGGGCCAGGCAGCTATTGGCTGTGAGCTGAAGGGCTAATCTAGGCCAGCTGCAAACGTCACTCACATAAGTCCTAACTGGAAACAGTATTCTACCCCTGAGTTCTCCTTGGGTGCTGTCTGCCTTTCCTGATTGCCTGTCTTTGGGACTTCCATTAAGAATTCTGGGTGCAAGCAGCAAGGCTCTTACCATGGCTTCTAGGAAAGTCTGTATGCTTGGCCTTCTTCTGGTCCTCCTCTGTTCATTCCAGCTTCCTAGAACACAGGGTCAACAACACCATCACCAAAGCGATGTAGAACACCATGGAAATGAACATTATCATCCCAAAGAGCATCAACATGATACACACCATTCTCAACATACAGAAGATGATGGCGATAATGATGGCCATCCTCATCATCATGCTGCTCAGTATAAGGATGCTGGACATTACCAAGAAAGTTATCATTCTGAACATGATGATGATGACAATGAAGAGGAACATTCTCATCCTCATAGTGCAGATCACCACATTGACCATCACCACCATGATGATAGTAATGATGTTGATGATGATGATGACGATGATAACAGCCATGACAAGCATCATCATGATAAACATCATGGAAATCATCATCACGATGATGATAATGATGATGATGATGATGATGATGATGATGATGATGATGACGACTATCATCATCAGGGACATCATGAAGACCACCATCACCACAGTGATGAAGAGAGGCATCACCATGGAGACCATCAGCATCAAGAAGACAATGATGATGATGATGATGATGATGATGATGATGATGATGAAGAAGAAGATGATGCTGAACACCAGCACCACTACCATCATCAAAGGCATGATGATGATGATGATGATGATGAAGATGATGACAATGACAATGATAAAGATGATGATGACAGTCAGTCACATCATGACCGTCATAGCCATCACCAACACCATAAAGATGATGACAGTGATGACAATAATGATAATGAACACCAACACCACCATCATAGACATCATGGAGTTCATGGCAATGATGATGATGATGATGATGATGATGATGATGATGATTCTCATCATCATCAACGCCATCACCAAAAGCATGCTGACGATGACGATGACGATGACGATGAGCACCAACATGAAGAAGAAGAAGAAGAAGAAGAAGAAGAAGAAAGCAATAATAGTAATGAAGATGAGGATGATGAAGATACAGCTCACAAATCCCGTCACCAAAGTGGCCATCATCAGCATCAGAAATATGACAAAGAAGAGTCTGATGAAGTACCTTCCAAGGAAAAGGATGAGCATAAGCATGAACGACACAGACAAACGCCTGATCACAAACATGAGGCCTATGAAAAAGCCAAAAAGCACCATGAAGAGGAAGAAGGTGAGAAACGTGTGAATATTGGGGGGAGGTATATGATTGATGGGGGAAATCTTATCCAACCTACTCTCAAGCCATCATAGAAAAAGAAATTTGATATCTACATCTGGAGGTCAGCTGGTTGGGGGAAAATGTATTGGAAAAAGCAGATATAATGAGGAAAGCCAGCAATACATGCTTCAGCTGCCATCATAGCCTCCTTTAATATCTCAGAGAACCTGAACATTTTGTTCCAATCAATTCAATCTCCAAAACCCTATTCTAGCTTTTGCCCACTTGTCAGCCCAAGTGTGTAGGACTACAGCACCTATAATTACAGAATATCAGTTGGAAGACACCTTGGAGGTCTTCTAGTCCAACCCCCTGCTTAAGCAGGATGCTCTACACCATTCCAGACAAATGGCCGTCTAGTCTCTTTTTAAAAGCCTCCAGTGATGGAACACCCCAATTTCAGAAGGCAACTCCTTTCATTGGTTAACTGTTCTCATTGTCAGGAAATTTCTTCTTAGTTCTGAGTTGCTTCTCTTCTTGATTAAGTTTCTATCCATTGTTTCTTGTCTTGCCTTCTGGTGCTTTGGAAGATAAGTTGACTACCTCTTCTTTGTAGCAGCCTCTCAAATATTGGAGCACTGCTATCATATTTATAATTGACATGCTATAACTGAATTATAAATGAATTGAGTTGTAGCATTGAATTGTAGCACTGCTACAATTCAAAGGTCACACTGTCTGTAAATAATAGAAATTAGATCTACTAAGGACTCTGATAAGGTGAGGTAAATAACCTAATGCTTTTATCCTTGGCTTTCAGCCTCTTTCAAAATCAAATGAAGTTTATATTTTCTTCAGAAAACTCAAAAATTCTAACCATCTTCTGTTCAGTCCCTACTCTGGGGGTCCCATTTCGTACTTTGTTTGTCCCTCTAGAACTAGCCTACCAAAAAAAAAATAATAACCAGCAGAGAACAACCATAATGGAACTGTCTCTGTATCTCTTTTCATTTGAAGATGAGGATGAGGATGAAGAGGAAGAGGAAGAAGGTGAAGACAATGAGTATGAAGCAGGTTCTGTTTGCCACTACTGTGCCTTCTGCAAGGTAATGCAGGAAAACCTTTGCATGTGATTTGATAGTTTATTATTCTCAGTTAGGGACCTACTACAGGTTGCTGACCTGTAGTGCCCCCACTAATACGGCCCATGGTGAGAGCTGATAAAAGTTCTCATTCAGCAAATTCCGAAGGATCACTGGTTCTTTATTCTTATTCTAATCCCAAAGTGGTATGGCTTTTCATTCACCTTAAACTAATTTGGGAACATTACATAACACACATTTCACAAGGATGCCTTTGTGCCTCTTTTTTTCCACCAATGCATTAGGAACTGTACTGTGGAATGGATTCTCCCCCTTTTCTCTCCTTATTTCTGGTTAGGTCTTTGCTGAAAGTCTATTTCATTTGCTTCTTATCTGCTCCTGATCTAAACATTCTGGTTCAGAGACAGTAATTTGGCAGGTGGAGATCAAGTCACAGAGGAATGTGGCACGTGTAGCTTGTCCTCCCCTTGCCATTTGCACTGTTTCTGCTTATATAGCACACATATATGAAGTAGATGAGCTCAGAATCCTCTCTGAAAAAAAAACCAAGAGTCTTATAGGTCAGTGTATGTCTGATACACCTGCATATACACAATATTTTCTGGTGATTTATCCGGCCACAGATTTACTGTCCATATTCCCTAAGATTGTTAAACTGTTGCAACCCCAGCAAATTAGCTTGTTTCCTTTTCCTCCCTCTTAGCTTCAAATTTATTCTAGAAAGTTACTGAAAATCTGGTATATATTGATGCTATTTAAAAGGGTATTAAATAACATTGCCAGGAAAAGAACAGTAAAGAAACTTGAAAAATCCTTTAGTTTAAGGTTATTTTATTCAAATTATGTATTAATTTTCCACTTATATTAACAGATTACATGTCAGTATATATGTGTATATGAATATGGATATAAATATATTGATTAGGTAAAGAGATGGAGAGAGATGGTGGATGATAGATACAGTAGAGAAATAGGGAGAAAAAGAGTGAGAGAGAAACAGACAGAGAGAAACCTTGGGCTATATATTGGACTGGATTTGATGAAGAAAAGATTATTCAGCATGCATGTGGCTGAGCGTGTCAGCACCTCTTTAAATCTGATGTGAGCCCCCCAAAAATGCAGTTTCCTTAAGGCACTGCCAACGGGTGCAACTTGATCATTGCAGACCCTTAATATATACCTGCAATTTGATTAGATCTGTTGAATATGGCTTTTAAAGATTTTTTTTTTAGTGTACATATATGCTAAAGCACTAGCATATCTACATTTAGAGTATTTATTTGAATGTGTATATGTACACATGTACAAATATACATTATTATAATAGTGAACTGCTGATTCCCAAGCCCTACTCCTCAACAAATGCTTATATGTCTGAAGTTAAACAGTAGATCAGTAAATGCCTATTCTGAAACCTAAACTTTTGTATTATTATAGTTATGTTATTCATTTTCTATGCTTTGGTTTTATGTTATTTACTGTAAGATGCTCAGAGTCTTGGCAAATGAAGCAGTAAATAAGCTGAAACAATTAATACATCAATACTGCTGCCCTCCTATGCAGCAGTACATGCAGGCTGCCACAAAAAAGAAGGGGTCAACCTATTTTCCTGAGCACCAGAAGGCAAGACAAGAAGCAATGGATAGAAATTGAAAAAGAGAGAGGAACAACTTAAAACTAAGGAAAAATGTCCTGACAGTGATAGCAATCAATCAATGGAACAACTTGCCTTCAGAAGTTGTGGGTGCTTCAATACTGGAGGCTTTTAAGAAGTGACTGGACAGCCATTTGTCTAAAATGGTATAGGGTCATCTGCTTGAGCACAGGTTGGATTGGAAGACCTCCAAGGTCACGCTGATTTCCAAGGTCACACTGAATTATCCTTGCTGGGTTTGGGGAGATCTTTGCAAACATTTCAACATTTCATTTCTCCCTAGCTAAGCATCCTATTCCCTCTTTTCTTTCTCCCATCTTTTTTTCCCAGCATTGTGGGGAGTGTGACAAGTGCCCTTGTAAAGATGGAGACAGCAGTGACTACTGCACAAGCTGCCAGGTTGGTATTTCAGTTTCTCTGCCACCATCATCTCTTCTCTTTATTCTCCTGCAAGGTTTAGCAGTCTGGCTTCATGAATGTTCAGTAATCTTACCACATCTGTGTTCTTTTCCTCACACAGTATTGTCATTTCTGCTACATTTGTCCTGTGTGTGAGACAGCCTGTGCACCAGGTGAGTTGTGGGTTTTGGTTTTTTTTTTTGTTTAACTGACAGGATGTCAAAGCCAGCCAGGTGTAAAAAATAAACCTGAGTTCAAATCTTGACTAATTCAATTGATTTGCCATCTCTCAAATCATTGAGAAGAAACAGGAGGGAACCCTTCCTACCACAGACATCCCCGTAATTGAATTCACATATCACACTAAGCCATATATTTTATTTTGCTTAGCATCTTGCATGATTGCAGCCATTGCAGTTTCTAAATGATGGCTAATAGTTGTCTGCTATGCAAACTCATTCAATTGTGGTTTATTCAATGAATTATGGTCAATAAATCATGGTTTGTGTGATGTATGAATCTAGCCTATGTATGCTTTTTGGAGACAAGACGATGCAAATTAACAATCAATCTCCTTATCTTCCTGAACTTGTTCTAGAAACATGAACCCATGTTTTCTTCTTTTTTATGCAGGAAGCATCGTAGATGAAGTATCTGGAGCCTTATTTCAGTAAGTGAGAACCTCCTCCTTTCATAGTATCACAAAGTCCCTTTTTTGTCTTCAGATCTGTTTTTGCAGCCTCTGTTTTAGTTAATTTTTAACAAACCTTCCATTTAGAACTTGGGTAAACTTTGAGTATGATAACTAATGTTCTTTTATCTGAGTGTTGCTCTGATGATTTCTAGGAGGAGGAATAGGATGCAAATTTAAGATGTCATTGCTACATTATAATAAAATCACGTAAAATTATAGTAATAACGATACAGTGGGAAATTACCATCATCCAAGAATGAAATCTTTTTTCTTTCTCTTTGCAGGACAATCGCTACCATATTTGAGCAGCAGGAACACTGAAGTGCCCTCTGCTGGATAAGCCAAAATTAGGAGAGATTATGGCACCTTGACTTTTAGAGCCAAACTGTAAACAAGAGCATATATATGGCTGTTGTTTCCAGCAGTGTTTTCCTCTTCCTCGTCTATTAAAAAAAGCTTCCTAAGATTGATTTTGTCCTTTGGGGGTGGTGGGTGGGGGAAGCAAAAGGGATTTTCTATCTTTTCTCAGAAGGCAGCAAAGCAACTTAAGAGTTGATACCAAGTGGGCAAGAAAAGATGTATCAAACCATCTACATCACTCCTTCGTTTGCTGATAAAAATCTACCTATTGAAATTGCTTTTGATTAAAATAATAATTTAAAAAATCTATTGGGATGAAGACTCACAGAACAATTGTCTTGTTGAGCATTTGGGCTTTTATTTGGGCAAGGAGATTGTCCTATGCAAGCCAGAGCATGTTAACTGAGATCAAATTTTAGACAATCCATTTCACCTTGAGTTAATACATATTGTCTATTTAATTTCCTTGGCTATTAAATGTTTGAGAACCGCATCACACTTGCAGCTTATTCCTGAGCAATAGGTGCTGTAGTTGTTTTACCCTCACTCATGGCCTCCAGATTTGTTGGGGTGCCACTTCAATGTCAGCTACAAGAGGAATCAAACCTACCACCTCTGGAAAGTACCTGGATAGAGGAAGTCAGCCTTAGTGAATGAGCCAGAATAGGAGATGATTCATGCTAGTGTGCATCAATGCTTGTTTCTGAATTGTGATTTGATTCGGTGAAAAATATCTGTCCGACACTCTAATGAAAGTTGGGTCTATTTGAATTAAATCTAAGTGTGTTCATTTTTACAATTACTTAGCCTGTCATTCTGCTCATAGGGTCCTCAATGTTTGATCTGTGATAATTCTTTCAGAATAGGAACAGTTTCAAGCAGCCTTCATCAAAAATTATAGGATTACCTAAGCCGGCTTTCTACTCTGGACAACCATTTTAATATTTTATTTATTATTATTTTACAACAGTTTGTTTGCTAATTAATAGCAATGATTCTAAGTAGCTTGCCATCCTACTAATCTCTCCTTTCCCAACTCTTTCTGGTCTATCAGTTCTTTGGAAAATGACTATTTTTATGGCTTATTCATAGAATAACAAAAGGCAAAACTGACAACATAAAATTGTATTGGTACCAAATATGATTTCTGCCCTTTGCCAAAGAAACTTTGAACATTTGTAGATTTTATGAAGATACCAAAGAATCTGACACAGACAATAGCTTCCTCATATAGCAGCTTTCATAACCTGGGATCTTCCCAATATACTGGCACTATGATACCAGCAAGAGAATCTTTTCTGGAATGCCATCACAGCTAAATTGATTATAGTACTTTCAGGAACTAGGTTTCTAGTGCTATCGCTTTCAATATATCAGGTCCATTTCTTCTTGCATAACTGTACAAAGAAAAAACAGGAGTTGGAAAAGATGTTGCTATTTAAGCCACCATTAACATTCTGTGCTTCAGGCAAAGTTATGCACAATAAAAATGCTGACATAACCAGAAGTAGCCCTTTTCTTTTTGTAGGCACAGCCATAGGCTTTATACCCTATTCTACATTTTTTTTTAATTAAAAGTATTTTATGCAATCTTCCTAACCAGGTGCTAAGAAATGAGTTATTTTACAACCCCCATTATATTCTATTCTCAGCCAGTTTTGTTTATATATTAGCTAGCATCCCTCACTTGACAATCAATTGATCTGTTGTATCATTTTTCCTCTTCCTGCATCATACCATTTTTTCTGCATCTGATGTCTGGCCATTGTACTGAATATCAGGAAGCCAAAATTGGATACATTAAACCAAATAGGGAACCTCAGCTGAAGACTAGATCCAATAGACTCAGAGTGAGGATAAATTGCAAACAGAACTTGGCTGAGGGTAATTAATGGTTTGTCTCATTTGTTCGGGTGTAGATTACGTTTTTGAACAAAAGCAAAACACAAGAAAGAGTTTGGTTGGGGGATGTTGATAGAACCTACTGCTTCAAGAAGTAAATAGTGTGAACAGAATCTGATTCTGAATCTTATTTGTTCACATCTGAACAAATGCACAAGATAGACTCCAAGCTCAATTCTGAGCTTTCTTGTGACCTAAGATTTTGAGACTCAACTTGCTTTGGTTCAATTAAAAGTAATCTTCTCTCTCCACTCAAATGATGGATGCTCTTCTCCAGACTTTTTAAACTTAATTTATAGCCTTCACTTTGTCTAGTTTTCATGAACAATAAACTTTAAACTTGCTTCTAAACTCATTGTTTGTTTTCTCTAAAGCCTTCACTTTGATGAAGTGGCCTTAAGAAATTTGATCATCCAAGGAGCTCAACGTTTTAGGGAATTGGGGAAAGGGGCATATTTTTTTTTCCTCATTAAATGGTGGAAACCTTTAGGATGCCATGAAGAATAGGACAATGTCTTGTTTCTGTACCTTTTGTCCTTGATTAGCTCTTCCTTGGATCCTCTGTATTGCATAAGGAAAAGAAAACCACCCCCTTTCCATTAAAATTCTTTTAAGAGTGGCACCTTTTAGTGAGTATTGACCATTAAATGTGTTTTTGACTAAAATAAATCTGCTTTCAATTTGGGTTTCTGTTAGTACACTAAATTGACCCTGGATGAGGATTCTATATCTAGGCAGATCCTGACAACTATTGGATGGTAGTAAAAACTGCACACTCTTCGTTTTGCAGCCTGTATCTGATATATCTACAACAGATTATTCTGCAGATGCTACCAAGCTACCAGAATGCACAATCTGGGCAATAATGCAGACCTATGATCACAGGTGCAGATGCAGAGGTACTAACAGAAAAGCTAACACAAGGCCCATCCTTATTATGAAAAGAGCAATGTATTTATAGAAAGAGAGTTAGAGACCGTGAGGGAAGTTGATTATGGGGAGGATGGGGGTTACATATTGGTGTCCAGCGTTTTCTTGGACATCTCTTTTCCCCCTCTAATATAAGAGAAAAGTAGCTGTCAATGAAGAGGTAAATAAATCAATGGGTTCAGTCTTGGGCATCAAAAGAGGCCGGACAAAATCCAAAGCCTTTGGACTTTTGACTTCTAAGTATCCTGTTTTCAAATAATTAAATAGACACACTAAGTATTAACCAACTGCCAGGAGGAAAAAAATAAAATCCCAAACCTGGTGGTCTTATTGTTCCAATTATGTTAGTTTGGAGAGGTAGATTATTAACTAGGGCATTTCTAAATGGATGGCTCCTCCACAATAAATCCAGTGGCCTGTGGAACCATGCATCCTGGTAAAAAGGAAAAAATAAATAAAACTATGGAGTTTTAGAAGTATAGGAATAATCATCTGAACAACATATGAAGTTCATTAGCATTAGGTGATTGCTTAAGAAAAAGTCACAGGTAATTCCTTAAGAAAAGCTTAGTCTGGAAAGACTCTAAATTTCACATTATGGGTGCTTCTGTGCTTACTTACCCACTGTTTAATGGATCTCAATTTTATAGATTTGGGATTTAATGGACAAGCCTTCTGAATGGGAGTTGTAGTGCTGAAACACCAGCTGAAGCAGAGAAGGAAAGGTTGTAGGAAAATCAGGTGAGCAGAAAGAATGGAAGGCAGGAGAAGAGATGGAAAAATAAAACCATGAGAATATTAAAAGTGGAGTGGTCAACTGGGGACGGGAGCTCTTGAAATACACCATGTGGAGAGTTGCTGACAGGAAAGAGGTGGGCAACACGCTCTTTTATTGCTACAATATTCCTGTAAGTTTGCTTGGGCTGAAATGGCAAGTAGCCCCAAGTCACCCAATGAACTCCATTGCTAAGTAGGAATCTGATCCTTGGTGCTCCCAATCCTTTTGTATCAATATTGAGAGTACGTCAGAGAAAGCACCATATTATCAGTAGAGTGGTGGCATGCTAGGTAGAAAGGCTAAAGCTAGCAAAATAAAACAAGATACTAAAGACCAGAGAAGGATGTGTTTCTGGTGCCCTTCCCTTCAAAGAGCAAGAAATAAGGGGCAAGAAGTCTGTTAACAAATAAAAGTGGAAGGAAAAAGACCTAAGATTTAATTTCTGGCACTATTATGTACTGCAGCTTGCATTTCTGGATCTGTGGTAGCTGCTTCTCATACAATTTCCTGTATCTACAATAAAAGCAATATATGTATAAGCTTTATCCCTCCCACTGCTATGTTAACTCTTAATTGCTGGTTGTACTGAAAGTAGTTTACAGTATTGCAATATAGACAAGGCTTTGGGTGCAGGATCTGAAATCAAGCAGTGCTGGGCTGAGCAAGGGAGCGTTATACTCTCCCTCCAACCTCTGGTTCTGTTAGAAGAATGGTGGGCTCCTAAAAGCTACAATACAGTAGAAGCAAAGAATGTCAGGAATTGCCTCACAGAGAACAAATGGAAATCCTCTTGTCAATTCTGTACCTTGCTCATAAAGAAAAATCTGCAGATCCTAGAAAACGTTTTCAAAGTTTTTTTTTCTTTTTTCTTTAAAAAACATTTCTTAGCTCATTCCCCTTGTAACCCACCCTCTCTGCCTTCCCTGGAAGCAAACGGGAATGAAGGGGGACCAGAAGAAGATAGCTCCTCCAGTACCTCAGCTTCCTGCTTACCCCTCACAATCTCCCTGACAGATTTGATTTCCAAGATTGTATATTTTTTTTTCCTCCCCTACCCATTTTTTGTCATGCAAAACTACCCCTTTGCTTTGCCCCTCACACCCACACATTCTCCTCGAAGGAACAGCTGAAATAAAAATGTAAAAAAAAAAGATGAAAATATATAAACATCAAATAAAAATTATTGGCGTGCAGGGCAGAGGGGTAGCAGGACACATTATTAAATTAACAGAGAACCTGTAATGGCGGTCGAAAAAGAAATTCAATTTACACGAGATTCCACAGCACAGATATACACAGAAAATACAACTCTTATATTACAATAGTCTTGGAGGAAGGGAGATCTGTGTGCCATATCAATAAAGTCCAGAGTCCTATCTCCAGTGACCGTCACAGGCTGAAGTCTACTCTTTCCAGTTTGACCATCTCGGACTTGAATTCCCCACTCTCTGCTCTCATAAAAAGAAGAAGAAAGAAAAGAAGAAATGTGATGCTCCATCACACCAGATGGACCACCTATCTACTGGGACTGCTTCATGCCAGCACCAAGAGAGTTTGGATGACAATTTCTAGTCCTCTTTCCTCCTCCTTCCTCCTCCGGGCGTTCTCTCATCTAAAGGAAGAGGGAGCTGCAAAGGCAAGGGGAAAAGAAGAGAAAGAGGGAACTCTTTTTATTTGTTGACTTGTCCTGAGAAGCAGCTACTTCTGGACAGAAAGAACCTTTATATTCAGGCATCCAAAATTTAAGCTCTGTGTTTCAGGCCTAGAGGCAGGTTGCTCTTTGGGGTAGGTGTGAGCAGGAGGTGGTACACTGGCTTTGTTCCTCCTGGCTTCAATATTCTCCCCTTGTTGAGAAGAGGGATGGGAAGGGGCAGGGATTAAAAAAAAGAAAAAAAGAACTGGCCTTTGAAAAACCATCTATTTTTTTTTTTTTTTGTCATCAGGAAATGAAACGGCACCCCTTCATAGCAGCAATGCAAAGGAAAGGAAAGTAAAGGAAAAATGCTGGCGGAATATTTAGCACCTATGGCAGGGCAGGGAAGGGGAACTGGCCAAGATGGGCTGCTTGGTCCAATATGTGGCACATGGCAACAGGAAATAGAGGCATCCCCTCACTTTTCCTCCCCCTGCTCCACCGGAAAGATCTGGTGTCAGAGCAGCGGGATAGGATGGGTGGGCAACCACATCTTCTCATTCACATTCTTAGGTCCCTGCCTGGAACAAACAACAACAATAAATAGAGGCCGAGGTGGAAGGCCATTTCCCTCTGCCGCTCTGGGGAAGGAGCCCCTCCCTTGGCTTGAGTCCCTTGAGTTCATCATTGACCATCGGCCACTGCTGCTACTAGGAAGAGGGCAGTGGGGAGGAACATGGTTGGTTGGTTGGTTGGTTAGTTGGTCTGTCCAGCATCCCCCACAAGCATCCATATTTTTTCTTGGCAACAGTGGCAGCAGCGGCGATGGTGCTAGCAGCAGCAGCAGCAGCTCTTCATACCCTCATGTGAGCACATGATGGAGAAGGAGAGGCAGCGGCGGCGGCGGCAGCAGCAGCAGAGGGTTTTCCTGCCCAAGGCAGGGAGGTCAGACATAACTGGGACAGCAGCTTGCAAGAAAAAGAGAAAGAAGAGTAAGGAAAAAAAATGCATCTCATGCCACTTTAACAGTTCTGAAAAGACATTTCTTTCATTTTTGTTCCTAACTTTCCCCCACGGCACACATGTGATTCCATATCAGTGCTTCTCAACAATTTTAAGCTGTGTGGTCTTCAGTTCCTAGAATTCCCTAGCCAGGATGTTAGGGAAGAAGACCAAGGATAAGAAGACCAAGGATATTGATATTCTAGGGCATAACATAGCTACCTAGCTGAGTTAAATTGTTACATTAATACATATAGGATGCTTAGCCTGGCTACTAAATTAATTCATTTTCTGTGTTTTCACCCAGAACCATCAATTAATCAGCTGTGTTGGATTCATACCAGAGGTGGTATTCAGCAGGTTCTGACCAGTTCTGGAGAATCGGTAGCAGAAATTTTCAGTAGTTCGGAGAACCTGCAAATACTACCTCTGACTGGAGATTTTACAGTATCCTTCCCCTGCCACGCCCACCAAGCCACACCCACAGAACCAGTAGTAAAACATTTTTGAATCCCACCACTACTTATATTCTATGTGTGAAGGTTGCTTTCAAAAAAAACCCACCACATTTCCTCAATACCATTATGGGGACCAATCAAAATGCTCTGAAAAAATTTGCAAGTTTTCAGTTCCTTAAGCAAAAAGTTACAAAAAACATAGGATGGGGAAAATCTCAAAGGTCCAAAAAGCTAACCATTTTTTTTTTCAATCTTGAGGCCTACAGTTAATGACCATGCTGTCAGCTATATGCAACTGTTAGCGAGAGGTATTAATAATGTTAAAGTACTCCTATTCTTCAGGGATAAAGTATAATGGTTGCTACCTGCAACTGTGAAAACACAAACAATAAGTGCTTATCCTGCTTGTTGCCATAGGTAAAATTCACAGGGTCCTGGTCTGGCATAAAATAGTAATAAAGGAACATTAAAAATTTTAGTCAAGAAAGCCAAAAAATATTTTTGCAGTGCCTTTGGCAAGAAGCTTAAATCCAGCCTGTGGAGTCGGCCTGAAAATAACAAAGGACCAGCCCGAGGTGCCTCTGGTGGCCAAAATGGCCTGCATGTGCCCCCCCCCCCCGTGCCTCATTTTCACTCTCCATGGCCTCCTGAGGGCAGCACTCTTCCGGCCCAAAACGGCCCCAAAAACAGGCTGAGAAGTGGGCAGCAAAGAGGCCATGGAGGGTAAAAACAAGGTGCAGGTGGGCTGCGTGCAGACCCTCTGTGTCCCGTTTTGGCCAGCAGGGTACTGCAGGAGACATCCATCCTGCTCCCCCACAGCCGCCCCTGCCTCCCCTTCTCCATAGAGGAGAACTACAATGCTGATCTAGCCCTCGAAGAAATCCAGTTTGACACACTTGCTCTATGATTTAAAAAAAGTATTCATTTTTAATCTGCAGCTTTTACTATCTAGAATTGTTTGTTATCATCATTATAAATGGTGTTGAGAGACAGTTAAATTGATTTGTTCAGACCAAAAAAAAAAAATCTGCATTTATTGATGATTGGAAGCTACTTGTAAATTTTTCCCATAAAAATAAAAATCTGTGATTTATAGTTTTGATGATTAGACACAATATATTATAGAAAGAAGAGTAATATGATGTAGCTTAGAGAGGTTAAAATATATTTGTAATAACTACTGTGAAGAATATCAGGAGACACTTTATTATATTATTTTTCTTTCTTTCTTTTCTATTTTTCATTTTTTTCTTGCACTTTTTGCTTCTTTAATGTCTTTCTTTAATGTCTTAATGTCTTTATTAAAATTTTAATAAAGACTATATACAAAAAATGAGAGACAATGCAATCTATTCTTCTCAATAGCAACAATGATTCTCAGTGCCAAGATCCAAAATCAACAATCCCAAACTGCTAGCCAGCAGCTGGATTAAACCACCCCATAATTCACGAATACTATACAAGATAGTGTACACTACCATTCTCTTACTCATGACTGGCAGAGGCTGGAAAATGGCAATGAGAACCTGAAGACTGGGAAGCAAATAATTTACAAAATTATTAGAAAAGTAAATGAAAAAAAAAGATTTCTATTTGTTGATTCCTCACTGAAAAAGCCTCTGCTACCCAACAGCAATAGTATCAGCACTGGGCAGTACCTAATTAATTTTGGTAGAGCTTTAAAAAACTAAGAGTCAGACATGATTAATAATTGGATGACAGGGAATAAGGAAATCCAAGAGACATAGATTAGATCAGGGGCTTTAAAAACATCAGAACACAGCAACAACCAACATGATCAGATTGATGTCAAGAAAACAATGCATATATATTAATGTAGTTCTCAAAAGTGGGCTAGATCCAATGGATTATTCTTAGCTTAAATGTGGATGGTTGCCAGTAGAAAAGAACATGTTTTTCTTCATTTTGTGGGTGTGGAAACAACTGACTTATTATACTGGGATATAACAGAATCCCAATAACAATGATCCATGTCAATTATTGGGTTCTGGTTATTGCATTTTCTCACTAAACACGTTTTGGAGAAATCTTTTGGGCCAGATTCCTTCTAGGTTACTTTATGTTGTTGAACTGTTTTATTTTTAAATAAAAAAAGAAAGATCAGATTTCAAACTATGCTAATCCATCCTTTGGACATAGTCACACCACACTGATATATTTTGCATTGCATATTTGTGGGGTGTCCTATGTCCTATTAAGCAGTAGCCTACCTGCTCCATCTTGGCATTAACAGGAATATGTTCTCACTGACATACTGTCTGTCCGTTGGCTACCTAATGAGTTCCCTGAGGAGAAAAAAAAAGAGAGGAAGGAATTCATAAATATATCCACCAGAGCTTTAAAAATGACTTCTTGACTAGCCAAAGATGTTCTGAACTTTTAATGCCTTTACCCCTTTTGCAGGCCAAAGGGACAGCCTGTATCCGTGATGGTGAACTTATGGCACGTCATTTGTGCTGGCATGCGAGCTACAGGCAAACCTACCTCGCTCCGCATGCGTGCACCTCACAGCTGGCTTTTTAGGTTGGTCTGAGGCCTTTTGGGGCCTCCCAGGCCTGAAAAGCCTTGCAGAGGCTTTTTCCAAGTCTCTGGGTGACCGAAAAAGGCCTCAAACCAGCCAAAAAAATCATCTGTGTGGTGCAGTGCAGGTAAAGGGGCGGGGGGTGGGGATTGTGTGCACATGAGCAGGTGGTGTGGGGAGGGGGGACACACATTGCATTTTTGGCACAGGAGCCCAAAAAGGTTAGCCCCCACTGGCCTATATCTTTTCTCTTCCTAACCCACAGATAATATGCAATGTCACATCACCTCACCCTGGCCATTATTGTTGACAAGTCTCATCTTTTCTCATTGTTCTATATTAGGAAATTCATGAATATTGAAATATAAGGGCTGAGCCTGTTTTTTAAACATTGGTTCCTCTCAGTAAACATAAGGGAAAAAAGCAGCTCCACTCATTTGGTGTCATTGTTCAAGCAACTGCGATTGGTAGACTCTCCAGGAAGATGAACTGCTTCTTTCAACAACTAAACAATTGTTCACTTTATCCTAAACAGTTTTATGCTACAAGAGTCCCACAATGGTTCTTGTCAAAGACAGTGGTTTTTGGCAGTATAATGCAGTACAGATAACAAATGCATTTTTCACAAATATACACAATAACATTGAAAAACCTGCAGCCTTTCAGATTGTTACTGAATCAGAATTCCCAGCATCTGTCACCAATGACTACGCTAGGGAAGGCTGTTGTGTGTAGTAGTAGAGAGAACCATAAATTTCCCATCTCCCAGATTAATTTGCTATGATAATGACAAGGAAATATGTGCAATTGATTTTTTTTTCCTGATCACAGCGAGAAATCTTTATGCATAGAAATTGAAGGATACATCAACTCCCACGATAGAGGAATGGATAAAAAATGTGATGGAGCTAGCAGAAATGATAAAATTAAGTGTTTTAATTAGAGAAAAGAATATATTCAGTTTTGTTTCTACCAGGAAACTGCTTCTGGACTTTGTGGTTGAGATAGAAAAAAATAAAATAAAATCTTGGCTTTGGGTTTTGCTGATTAAACTGTTGTTATAGAAAAGTCTTTCTTGTTAAGTTTTAAATTAAAAATTTGAGGTCATTCCTTTTCCTTTCTTCTCATTCTCCATTTTCCTATTACTGTTCTTTTCATCTGTATTTTATAATCTCAATTAAAAAGGAATAAGTTCCAGAAAAAGAGAACACTCTATTCCTTATTAGCTTGGGGATAGAGAA